GGACAGGCACAGGAGGACAGGCACAGGAGGACAGGCACAGGAGGACAAGCACCGGAGATCTTCAACCAAATGTGTAGGTGCGGGAGGTCAAGACAGCACAGGCTGTATGAGACCCTGTGTCAAAATCAAAACAGAACAGAAGGACTCTCTGGGAGAAAACAATATAAAACACCACTCTAGAACATAGATATGTGCTCTAGGGGAAAAAAAAAATTAACACAGGACTGTCCATCACAACCAGGAGAGAAGGGGTGAAAGGTAAATGCTCAGAAGGTGGTGTGTATCGTGGGTGTCAAAATGAATTATAGAGCACACTGAAGTAAAGTCTTATACTGATGTTGGAAGTCAAGATGGCCTTGAACAAAATCATCAAAACCCACAAAATACAAAGGACAGTTAAACCAAACAACGAAGTAACAGGGACAAAGGAGATGCGAATGCAGTAACAGCAAAGGAAAAGGCAGCAGAGAGAGGCAGAAACAGACATCCCCTTTTAAAGTGGCAAGAAATATTCTAACACACTGGGGCTGAAGAAGGCTCACTGCTATGGAGCCTATACAGCTCTTGCAGAGGACCCAATTTCAGCTTCCAGCACCCATGTCAGGGAGCTCACAACCACCTTGACCTCCAGCTCCATGGAACGCAACACCTATAAGAATCTCTACCCATGTGCACATACCCACACACATACACATAATTCTTTAAAAGTTCCAACACACTTTCCTGCTGGGTGTTCAAAAGACAGTGCAACAGAAACTCATTATCTGGCATCGTTGGTTTCTTGGCTTTGTGCCTGATAAATCTGGTGTCACTAATGATTGAGTTTAGAAAAAAAAAGGAAAAGAAAAAAACGAAAAATATAGGGAAAGAAAGTTCTAACACAAGGAGGGATGGCAGAAGTGAAGCAAGCCACTTTTAAGAGCAGAGGAGCCAGGCTGTGGTGGCACACTCCTTTAATCCCAGCACTCGGGAGGCAGAGGCAGAGGCAGTCGGATCTCTGAGATGGAGGCCAGCCCAGTCTACAGAGCAAGTTCCAGGACAGCCAGGACTACACAGAGAAACCTGTCTCGAAAAACAAAACATAAACAAACAAAATAAAACAAAAACAGAACATGAAATCAAAAGAGCAGAGTAGACTTGGGAGAAGAAGGATTGGAGAGAACAATATTCATATGCTACAGAATAAAGCAATAATAAAATATAGGGGAGGTATCCTGGCTAGCTTTATGTCAACTTGACACAAGCTCTAACTATCAAAGAGGAGGCAGCCTTAACTAAGAAAATCTCTCTGTAAGATCAGCTACAGGCAAGCCTGTAGGAAATATTCTTAATTAGTTATTGATGGGGGAGGGCCCAGCCCATTGTGGATGATACCATCCCTGGGCTGCTGGTCCTGGGTTCTTTAAGAAAGCATGTGCAAGCCAGTAAGCAGCACCCCACCATGGCCTCAGCACCAGCTCCTGCCTTCAGGTTCCTGCCATGCCTGAGTTCCTGTCCTGACTTCCTTCAATGATGGACTGTAATGTGGAAATGTAACCCAAATAAATTCTTTCCTCCCCAACTTGCTTTGGTCATGGTGTTTTATAGTAATAGCAACCCTAACTAAGACAGAAGGAAACAGAAAATCTTACAAAAACAAATACAGACAAGAAATTTCTATGACATCCAACTGAAGACACACAATGCTCAGGACCAGCTGGAAAGAAGAGTTCACGTGAGGTTTTGGTTATCAAAACAATGGCAAAATGAATTACACAGGGACAATAAATCTAAACATAGGTAAAAAGCTATAAAATTGAAAATATGTGTGGAACAAAAAAATCACGGGCCAGAAGAGCACAGGCTTTGTTTTCCTGAATATTCTTGAATGAAAGCAACGATGCTTTCTCACCTCGTGCACATGAGAGAAGGGGGCAACAACAGTCTACAGCTGTTTGCAAAGCAGGTTTCCGCCCCTTTGGTTTTAAGGAGAATGCCATACATATATAGTTGATTTTCTTTGTTAGGCTAAAATTATAGAAAATCTAATAACAGCAACAACGTAATATCCTAAACTGCTGTTGTTTAACACTGAACTGTTCTTACCTCATTCTTTAAGCACTTCCTCATTTCCCGATCAAGGTCGTTGCAATGACCAAAAAACTTCAGAATGTTGTGCTGAAGGGAGAAAGGGATGAAATAGTTCATCTCATAATAAGCCAACGTCTCTGAAACACAGAAGGTAAAGGAATGCTGCTATGGCAATGGGGTCCACTGGGTCACTCTGGGAGTAAGCAATTAAGAGTTAAACAAGGCTCCTAAGGAGGACTACCCCATCCTTTCTCTGTGGCAGGAAAAAATGTCTGCAGACAGAAATAAAAACAAACCTGAATGATTAGATGACCGGATGAGTAGAATGCTGGTAGGGTCAAGGACCTGCGTTCCGCCTCCAGCACCCACATGAACATCACACGGCCCGGGGAAGCCGGGCACAGCAGGACCCTGGGGCTCACTGGCCAGCCTGTCCAGCTGAGTCCATGAGCTCCAGGTTCAGTGAAAGACTTTGTCTCAAAAAAAGTGCAGTGACTGAAAAGACATCAGACATTGACCCCTGGCCTACACAGACATACACACATACATACACACTTTCTTAGTTTAAGAAAACAAAATGACTTATTAATCCATTAAAATTTTACATAGTGTAAAAGAGTAAAGTAGAAAAGTTTAATCACAAGGCAGGAGAGACGACTAGCAATTAAGAGCAGTTTCGATTCTTCCAGGACCCAAGTTCAGTTCCTAGCACCCTCACTGGGCAGCTCACAACCTATAACTCCGTCTCCAGAGGAACCCAATGCCTCTGGCCTCCAAAGGTACCTGTATGTGGCGCTCTGCCAGAAATACACACACACACACACACACA